TAATAATAAATTGGTCTCTTCAAACCACGGCTGTTTGTGGGACACTGCTGTGCGCAATTGGCTGCCGCGTTTCGCCCACAAAATATACAATCGATTCACACTGCATTATATTCTGTGAAGCGCTTTGAGACGTCACAAAGACGTGAGTGGGATGTCCTCCCAACGTGAAAGGCGCTATTGTAATTTTGTTGTTTTGTTGTGATGAGGCGCTATATCAAATCCAAGGATTATTGTATTGTTATTGATTATTATTGAGATGGCACTAGGTGAATGTCCAAGGAACACCCCGAAAGTAATGTGTCCCTTCTATTTTCTTTAATTGTTAACTTTCAAAACTTAACATATACACAAAGTTTTTTAAATACACCAGTGCACTTATTTTTCCACAAAGTCACCATCACCATCTCCATGCTTGTGGCAATGTGAAACCAATGCCATTTATGCCATTAAGGTAAAATGATGTGCAAATGGCCTTTCTGGTTACTTGTGAAACACGGATAACATTCGTGGAACTTTAGAGTAACCGAGGTTAAATATAATCATCTCTGTGATATGATGATTGATACCGAGATTCTCACTCAACCCATCACTGAGTGATGTGTCGATCTTTGCAGATCAGTTTTGTGTTTATTCTCTTCACTGCTAGACCTATCATGAAGTTCAGTTTCTCCACTTTTCACACGATTTATCCAGTGTTTTAAAGTACTTGCATCATCATATAGAACTGCCCGTACACTTTCCTCATGCAATGGTGAATCTCAATCGGCAAAATCCCCTCAGCTATGAGAAATTCAATTACTGCTATCTGCTTAACGTGTGTATCAATGCTGGTTCTGCATTTTGAACTGCTCTCGCGCACCTCCATCTAGTTAGAAGTAAACAGAACTTTCATAGCAGGGGCGGGATATATAAAAGTATCTTGGGTATGTTTTTCGTTACTGTACCACTTACCATTCTCCACAAAATAAATAGGAGGCATTAATTTTGCAGGTGTCTCTCAACGTATTGAGTGTTTAGACCCACGGCCCCTCTTTAGGAAGGGCTGAAAATAAGGGGGGTTTTACAAGCTTCAAATCACACTTGTCACACTTCCTCCCCTCCAACAAAGGTGACATCTACTTTTCTCTGCAAAACAATTAAAACTCTTTCTGCTGGTATGGGATTCAAGGACAAGAAAACATGAATTTAAGATTGTGCCCAGTGGAGTAAGAGGGGAGATTCAGAAGAATTAAGTCTCTGTGAGGGTGTCGGGGTATGGATTAATTTGGAGGTAGTGCCTATTGGAGGCAAGTCGTTTGAAGCATTGGGGAAAAAAATTGAACAAGCACAGGGAAGAAGCAGGGAATTGAGGTTAGGGTGGACAGCTTCTTGAAGGAGCAAACATTGACACAAAAAAATGGACTGGATCGCCTTCTACTGTGCCGTACAGTTCAATGGTGATCAACGGATTTAAAAAAAAATCCTTGCATTTGATATAGCGGCTTATCACGTCATTGAGACATCTCAAAGCGCTTCACAGGATTTACTGCAAAGTGATTTGACTGAATTTTGTGGGCGAAAAAAATGCATTTGGTGTTTGAAAAGCAAATACCATACAATACAAATTTACATTAATATAGCACCTCTCACGTCGGGAAGATGCACCGAGTTGCTTTGCATCTGAGCTGGGGGTTGGGAGCCGAGGGGTTGGGGAGAGAAAGATGACCAAAAGCATGGTCAAAGAGGAAGGTCTTGAGATGGACCTTGAAGAGGGTGAGGGAGTAGCGAGTTGGAGGGACTCCAGGATTGAGTTTCGGGGAATGGGGGCAGATAGGCTGAAAGTCCGACAGCTGATAGTGGGGTGAGTAGGATGGGAGGCATGAAGTAGACCGATGCCCGCTGAAGTGTTTCCATTTTACTCCCTCACTCTTTAATTTATTACCATTAATAAACATATTTTGTTCAATTTGCTTTTCTCTTTAAACTGTTCAAAACCAGTTCTGTTCTTGTTCTGATCAGCAAACAGCTCAACTGCTCTTCTGTAGTCTGTAACTGTGCTTTGGGACGTTCTCAGTGCCTTGAGAAATTCTTCTGACATAAAAGGCTCTATACAAATGTAAATTGTTGTTGTAATTAATCAGGCTTTGAGGGAAAGACTCTTAAATCTGGATATGTATTCACTGGAGCAGAGGATTTTAAGAAGGCATCTAATAGAATTTATGAAAGATTTTCAAAGGAGAAATAACGATTTTCCCCCACAGGGAAGGGTTAGAAGGGTTTTCCGTTATTGATGGCAACTTGTAACCACTTGAAAAAAGAAGATATAAATGATATAAAATGGGGAGAGAATAGACTGGGGCCCAGCATTGGGTCCATAATTATTATTCATAATTAATAAGTATCATTACTAATATTATTAATCACTCTTAATATGGATAATTGATCATAATTATTGACAATTCTTATAGATAATACTAATTACAAATTGTCATTTATGTAGCACCTTTCACGTTGGACGATATCCTAAGGTGCTGGACAGGGTTTGCACCCAGCTTGCGTGCACTTTTTATGCGTTTGGTATCCTGGAAACAGATAGGTCTCTGTTTAAGTTATAGTTGGAGTATTGTGTTCAGTTTTGGGTGCCCTATCACAGAGGGGTTGCTATTGATCTCACTTCCTGGGTGCTAAATGCTGCGTGCAGAAAGTGTCATTGACAATGACCTGTTGACCTGGAAGTTGGCCACTTTTTAGTATGCGTGGAGTCAACCGGCACGTGGGAAGCTGACAGGTACAGGTGCACAGGTCACCTTCCTGATAAGCAAATCCATGTTATTTTGCCCACAAAATATACAGTCAATTCACTTTACAGTATATTCCGTGAAGCCCTTTGAGACGTCTCGAAGACGTGATAATGCACTCTATTCAAAAGTAAGGAATATTATTATTATTATAAGTGGGTCCTTATAACACAGTTCTACTGTAACTCCAGTGGAGGGTCTCCATTATCACTGGTACTATAGGCCAAATGGTCATCTCAGACTTTCTGTTGATGTACATACAGATTTCAATAGATGTTTTTCTCCAGTCAGCCAGTCATTCACATAATTCCATGTAACCAGCTGAACGTACTTTGCTGTTCACCATTCGTCCTAAATTGGTTTCAGTGTAATTTACCTGATTTTCAGTGGGTTGCCTGACGTGAGTTTGCATTTTTATATGTAATATATGTGTCTTGATATTGATTAGTTGTCCTTACCTTTGACATACACATCTCTGCACACTGGGAACAAACAGGGGATTGAGTGCAGGGTAACCAGGGGGCAATGCTGCTGCTTCTCTGTCTCTCTCTTTAGAAATAATCCCGGCTGGAGTATTCAATTCCCTCCTCGCTGGTCTCTCCAGCTCCACCATACACAAAATTCAACTAATTCAGAACTCCAGCACCTGGATTCTCACCAGCACAAAACTCCATACCCTCATCACACCAGTCCTTGCCAGGCTCTCAGTTACTGAACGATTAAGATCCTCTCACTGTAAAAATTCCAGATCTGTGCTCAGTGCCTTTGGAGCAGGTGAATGGAATCTGTGTTCCCACCGCTCCTTGGCCTGAAATTCCATCTACTCTTAGTCTGCAAGTCCTTTTGTTGTTTCAAAATTGAGGTTCGACACACACATGTGGAAAAAATTTCCATTTGCTTTCAGTATGGAAGCAGTCTATTTTGAACAAATGCGGAAAACCAGCTTCCAAATTAAGACCAAATGGAAGAAATTTCCACAGTTGCGTGCAATCTTAAATTTTACCAAAAAAATGGGTCTTAAAGGTAAGATTAGGTGGAATTTCAGGCCTCCTGTTGGTGCCACAGTGTGATGCCCCCCTGCTCCATCCAAAACTTCAAGCCCGCTCTGGATGTGACTTTACATACATACATACATACATACATACACACACACACACACACACACACACACACACACACACACACATACAGGACCGACCGACCATCGCAACCTTGGACTCTGTTTGCAAACCAGCCAAACTAATTCACAAACTACCTCCCCACCTGACAAAGCCAGTGTATGATCATGCATTCAATGTCCTGATAACACCTTATACCACCTAAAGTACTAAGTGCCCTAAGATGCTACCCAGCATGAAAGGCTCTGTAAATGCAAGTTGGTGTTGTTATATTAGGGTATAGCGTCTGTTCCTAATCCTAGCATTATCCATTAAAAATATAACAGATAATTTTGATTAGCAACACATTGTTCAAGACTACTTATTCAGCTCTGGTGTGATGCTTGTCTCATCAGACTCAAAGATTCTCTTTCATTTGAGTTACGAGGCGAGTTAAGTAGCCCATTACGAAATGTACAGAAAAGGAGGAAATTGAGATTAGACGGACAAAAGAGCTTCCATGAACAAATAAAATGCCGGCGGACACAGCCTACTCAATATGCCCAATAGCCTCCTGTTTCAGGGTTCCTTGTGATCAGGGGGCAAGTTGCGTTATAGTTGTGCTTGAGCTTGCCTTTCCCGCACGTTCTGAGGCAGCACCATTGACCCTTTCAGGGATTAAGAAAAGGACTGAATGGGAAAAACGGATATGGTGAGGAAAGTCGTTGCCTCCTATTGGATGGTAAAATCTCGCTGCCAGCACAGAGCGCAGGGTCAGGGTAACACATCCACCAATTTTAGCCTCTTTGTTTAAAGGTGGATATGGCAATCTGCGAGCTTCACTTGCTGGAAGGTTGCTGTTGAGAGGTGCTGAACCAGCATTCATTCATTCTTGACTGACTTATTCAGTCAGGGTCTGGTCCACACTACATGTGATTTGCAACGAAGTGAGGAAATTTGACTTAGCTTATATTCTCCTGTAGTGTAATGTACTTGACTTCTAATATCGCAAAGTTATAATACATTTTTGCAGCTACAGGTGATGGGTAAATTCATAAATAGGCTTTTGTCATATAAATTGCAAAGCACAAAAATGTTAATTTTTTTTGTTTTTTGTTCTGCCCAGGAAATGGCAAGCATCTTGGCACAGAAGCAACTGCGCAACATCATTTTAAATGTGAGTACCAGAAAACATGCCACACAAAACATCACACTTGCATTGGTCTGTATCCTTTACAATAGGTAATGCATAGCTGGCTGCGGGTGGAGAATCTACGAACTCATAACTTCAAAGAGCTTGAGCTTTGACTTCTTGGGTGTTTGCCCACAAAGCAATCACTGCACATTACAGTATATTCTGTGAAGCACTTCGGGATATCTCTGCGATGATGTGAAATTAGATTATTCGTAAATAAATGTGAAGATTATCAGAGTGAGGATTGATCGGATTCAGCTGTGATGCTGTCTACAGTTGGATAGCCTGCTGCACTCACTGTCCAGATTCACACCAGAAGACTGACCATAGTTGGGAGACACATCATTATGTTGCCGCCGATGTCACTTGCTTCTGTGTGCCTGCACGGCATAGCCAGAGGTGATGCTTACGGCGACCTAATAAAGCAGAAGTGGGCCATTTTAGCACAAAAAGCTGTCTGGTTGGTCCGTGTTCAGGAAACGCGTGGGTCGGCTGCATGTGTGCACAGTTAACGGGGTCCACAGTGCAACCAGTTATAAGCGCGTTTGCAATAACAGTTATAGTGGGCTGCATTGCATTTTTTTTTAAAAAATGAAAGCTGTGAATGAAGTACAATGCAATGTAATTTACATTTATATAGTCATTTTAAAGTGCTTGAAAGTTTCAGGCAAAAATTCTAGATAGTATCAATACTGTACAATAGACATTGTGATGAGTATTTATGAACTTCTTGACTGAAGAAAGAGTGTGTTGCTGTATATATGACATTAGAGTTTTAAAATGCCCTCCTCTCTTTTTCTCCTCCCACCCCCCCCACCTATCCCGTGGTTATAGTTGCTTTACTGATTGTGGTGCGGATATATAAAACACCTGCACTGTTATCTCAAAGGTTCCTGATTTAAGCATTATGGTTATGTTTTTACATTGTCTCAATAATCAGCTTTGAAACAATATGATGTTCGAAGCTCGATTAACCTAGTTTAAATCTGAATGAATAATTTAAGCAGAATCCTTGCCTCAGCGTAAGGGGAAAGGGAGGCTTTGTACTGGGAGAGCAATATGCAGTGTAAATTAACTCCTTGTTATTTCTGACATTGAGTTAATTGGCATAAAATGCTTACATAGTATGTGGAAGGGGGGATGCAAAATTCAAAACACCATTTAATGTGGTTTAATATCTCTACTTAGTGCAGATTTATTTTTTGTTGTTGTTGCTGGTGAGGCAAGTGTCTTGACACACATGAAAACCCAAGGAGTATAGAGAAATCTGTAATTGATTGAACATATCAAGTCAGTGATGAGAAGAGCCCCTCTCTGGGGCATCATATCCCCAGTGACTTGTTTCACCCCAAGACATGTCCCCTGCACTGTTGGTGCTCTGCTCCACAGGCAGCCTGGAAATGAGATTATTTGGAAAAACAACTTGCTAGTTGAAGAAAATCCATCCTGGACAAATCCATGCACAGTACATAATATGTATTGTTCTTGCCCCGTAGAGTTCATGTCTCCAAAATATACTGGCAATTTTTTTTAATACATACATTTACACTGTTTTCGCTACCTCTGGTGCTCTAGTTGAGCTCAACGATGGATAGAGTCTGGGCATCACTAGAGGGGTGCACTGTGTTAACAAACAAACACACGCATATAAACATCGTCTTTCCCACAGGATAAAATTCCCTACCTCCTTACACTGTACTTTCCTGATGAGGTTGGGGGCTGGGGTATTCTATGTGGACTGTGAACCCGTGTTCTCCTGTTATATTGCTAACTCTTTCTATGTTACAGCACGTCATTCGAGGGAACCGCACCATTCAGACCGAAATGGCTCACCAGCTTTACGTCCTCCAAATACTGACATTCAATCTTCTGGAGGACCGAATGATGACAAAAATGGACCCACAAGATCAAGTATGTACATCTTCCATGCACAATACTTTTTATAGGACTCTTTCAAGGTCCATCTCAAGACTGTGCTTTCGGCTGCTCCCCCACCACACTCTGCTAGCTCGGGCTCCTGATCAGTCTTTGCATTTTAAAACATTCTACCAACATCCAAGGTATTAGTGTAATAATAATCATCCTTGCATTTGATATAGCGCTTTTCACGTCGGGAGGACGTCCCAAAGCGCTTCACAGAACACACTGTAAAGTGAATTGACCGTATATTTGTGGGAGAACGCGGCAGCCAATTGCGCACAGCAATGTCCCACAAACAGTCGTAGATTGAGTATGACCAATTTATTATTGTTTTTGGTTTTGGATGGATTATTATTAGGCTCTGTGTGGAGTAAGGAAACTTGCCCAAGGTTTCGCCCTGACCTGCCTGGAATTGAACTCAGGTCTCTCGCTTGCAAAGCGAGTGCTCTAACCACTGAGCTACAGGACTCCACGTATTGTTGTAAATTGTTGTTCTTCAACTCACACATGATGTGAAGAGCAGGGCTATCTTCTTTGGCAACTCTATTCTCCTCCCTCCCCTGACAGAATCTTTTCTACTTATCATCATAATTACCTGCTTCCCGTTGCTGAGCCCCCAGTTTTCAATCCAACCATCTGAAATTACACTAGCTCTAGTGATTTGAAAGCCGCGTTAAATCAAAGTCCGGTTGTTTAGGTGGACATTGAAGATCCCATGGAACGATTCAAAAAGAGAAGGGAGCTTTTCCCGGTGTCATGGCCAACAATCCCCCAAATAAAATTGGTCACTCACCTCATGGCTGTTTGTGGGACATTGCGATGTGCAAATAGGCTGGGTTTGTTTACAAAATACAGTTAATACGTATAAATATATATACACACATAAAATACATACGAATACACACAAAATACTAAGTTTTACAGTTCATTCTGTGAAGCACTTTGAGACATGTTTTTGATGAAAAATGCAGAGATTTATTTGTAGTAGACTTGTTTTAACCTTTGAAAGTTTCACATATGGAACTTCTTCAAACAGCAGCTAAAAATCCAAGCAAATGATATTGGTTTATGAAGCCTTGTCTTTAAATCCTAGTGAGGTGAGAGACATGACCTACAGCTTCTAAATTTGTGGTGATTAATTCTTCTTGTCCCTGTGCTCTTTAGAGGACCTGTGATGGCACCTGTATAATGCTTTCAAAAGCATTTCCCCTGCAGCAGCTGTTAAATTGAATGGTCTAGATTTTTCAGTCTTTTTTGAATGACCTGATTTGGGAATACTTAATGCAGACACAGGGTGCCAGAAATAAGGGGGGAGAGTTGTATTGCACTGAGTTCACTTGGGATTGTAAGCATAACATCCACCAATAAATGTGTGAGTGTCTTAGGTTTATTCTAAGCTCCTAAATTGCAGATGGAAAGTTGAAGGAAGTTGGGAACCAAGGGCTGTTTCTGGTTTCACGCAGCTGAATATTCATAGAGGAATGTCAAAAGACGTTTGTAAACCTGCCAGGAATGAAAGCCCTGTTGCTTTTCTGATGATTCCATACATAATTGAATGTCCATCACACATGGTCTGTTTTGTTCAACCGGAAAGATTCCTTCTTCCTTTTCCAGGCTCAAAGGGATATCATATTTGAACTGCGCAGGATTGCATTTGATGTGGAGTCGGAGCCCAGTAACAGTGGAAGTATTGAGAAGCGAAAGTCCATGTACACCAGGGATTACAAGAAACTTGGCTTCATTGTAAGTACATACATACCTGTCTGATGAATGCCTGTCAAAGGAATAAACTGTTGTGCTGTGTAATACTGCTTTTATACCACTGCCTCCAAGGGTAATTGATGGCATATAATTAAGGTTTCTGATTTTTTTTATTTTAACTGAACACCCCTCTCCGCCCCCGCCCCCCCCACCCCGATAAAACACCCCATTTACAAAAAAAAATTAATTTGTGTTTAATGCAATAAATAAATACTAGAAAAACGCACAAAACACCTGTTCTGACTTAACTCCAAAATGAGATTTTCTCTCTCACTCTCAGCAGCGTCCTGGTGTCGACAGTGCATTCTTTGCACTCCACCTCTTCCTCCCCTCCTCTCAGTAATAATAATAATAATAATAATCCTTGCATTTGATATAGCGCTTTTCACGTCAAGAGGACGTCCCAAAGCGCTTCACAGAAGACATTGTAAAGTGAATTGACTGTATATTTGTGGGCGAACGCGGCAGTACCCTAATGAAAGCCCCCCAAACCCTTATTTATAAACCCTCTTAAAGTTGCTATTAAAAGAAAGCTAAAAATATACCCTGAAAATCAGAAGTCTGATGTTTAGTGGCTGTGTTTCCCAACTCTGGATCCTCTCACACTTGACTGAGTTGGATCTCTTGTTACCTCTGTGTATAGGAGATCTGGCTCTACAGTGAACAGGTCAAGAGATCTGTAGCAAGTTGACCCAGTGATATTCTGCACGTCAAGACACTTGTGCACACGTCTTTCTTTGTGCATCCGCTTGCCAAATTTACAATAGGAAAATTGTGAAAAAGGCCTCAGGCAAAGTTGTCACAAGGTCCTGTCTGCCTGTTCAGGTGGATGTTAGAATTCTCATGGCACAATTATACACGAGAAGGGGGTCTATTCTCTCACGGTTTCCTGGCCAACAAACCCACATGTAAAAATTGGCTATTCAATCCATAGTTGTTCGTCCTGTGAAATTTGACTGCCATGTTAAAAAATGCATAGTCACGACAATTGACTGTGAATCAGTCAGGCGTTTTGAGCTGATTCCATGTTACAACGCAACACACTGTATCAAATGCAAGGTTCGTTACAGTATGTTGTTTTCTTAATCAAATCTCATTTGCAGTTACCATTCATTACGTTAACGTATTTAGAATCGCTCTGTGAACAATCTTATCAGCAAATCACTGTTAATTTTAATTATCTATGTCAGCCGGCCTCTCAAATAGGCTTTTTGCAGGTGCCAGGTTCTAGAGTAAAGGCTGCTCCGTGATAAGGCAGTAGTTTCTGAACTCTTCATTGACGTATTTCGGGAGTTTCTAATACGACAAATAAAATTGTGTTTGATAACTCCTGGAGTCTGATGTGTATCCAGAATTGGCATAATGGTTGTAGCCTGCAGCTGATTTCCAATGTCTCACATGTACAGAGAAACTAACAGTTGTCAGTTGTTTTACACAGGCAGCCTTTCTGATGGATGACCTACATTGCCTCTGTTGCTTTCATTTCTCTTTGCACTGTCCTGGATTTGTTGTACTTGTTTCATTAATCCCGCTGGCTTGATTCTGAACCTGGGATTAAATGAAACATACCTGGGAAACATTGTCGTTACTGCCGCAGCCTTCAGCAGTGAGCGGGAAGGTGTATAGGAAGGCGGAAGGGGGCCAGTGTGCAACAATCTTCAATGGGATTCCTTATAAAGGATCAAACGCAGAGTTTTTTTATTATTATTATTATTAATCCAGAGGGAACTCCTTCCTTCTGGAAGCCAACCTGTGGAAAATCTGCTCTGAAAGTAGAAGTAGTTGGATTGGCATTCCTACAGTTTGGCTTGGACACACTTCCATCACTGCGTATGTGATAGATCCGTGTGAGAGGAGAGTTTGAATCAAGTTATCAGGAGATGAGTTGCAGCTGGTGTGTGTGTGTGTGTTGGGCAGAGTTGGTGCCATTTTTTGTTGCTTCAGCTCCAGTACTCTTTCTCTTTGACCGTGCCTTCAGCTCCCCTCTCGACTCTCTTCCCCCTCCTCGCTCCCTCCCTTCCCTCCCCTCACCCCGACCATTTCCCCCCTCCTTGCTCCCTCCCTTCCCTCCCCTCACCCTGACCATTTCCCCCCTCCTCTCTCCCTCCCTTCCCTCCCCTCACCCTGACCATTTCCCCCCTGCTCGGGTCATGACCCAACTGTGCAGCGCCTTGGGACGTCCTCCTGACGTGAAAGGCGCTTTATAAATGGAATCTTGTTGTTGTTGTTGTTGTTGTACTGTTACCATATGACGTTCTGAATTTCCAATGGGTAATCTGAAATCTTGACTATCCTCCTGGGGGTAGGGATTGAATTGGCTTCAAGGTGACATGTTTGGCAACGGAATATCAGAATCGAGCCAGCCCTTTGTGGTGGTCTCGGTAGTCCAATTCCTGAACCAGGCATTACAGCAAGGTGCGCATGTTATGGCGTTTAAGTGTAAACAGCATTAGAAAACGGCAATAAGCTTGATTCGGACCAGCCAGTTTGAAAACTCTTTACATTAAAGGGTTGAGTGTGGGATTTGGTAAAATAATCTGAATCAATGATATTGCTTTCCACAGAATGACAAAAATGTTTATAGTATATTTGGAGACCATTTGGCCTGTTGTGTTCAAGCTGATGTTATTTTCCCTTCGGGGAAAATCTGCTCAAATCCCATTTCCCAGCAGTCAGCTAACAGACAATGATTACTGGGTTTTTACTGCTGGCGTGACTTCTGGCATGTTTCTCATTGCAGTAGGAATTCACAGAAATTCTCTCTAAATAATGAACAATTTTTTTTTGCCGAAAAGTTACCCAGACTTGGAAAGGATAAACTTTTCACAAAAAAATTAGTTTACTGCCTAGGGAGACGTTGGAAGCAGAAAGTGTAGATTCTTGCAAGAATAAAATAAAATAGATTTCTGTTAGAAAATAGTATCTCAGGATACAATATATAGTTTGGGACGCGACATGTCAAGCGACTGTCAGGATGGTGAAAGGCAAACTGGATGGACCTTGGTCTTCTTTCGCCTAGCAAATTCTTATGTTCTTATATGCAAACATTATTTAAATCTGTAAATATTGACACCAGCCTGGTAGATAGCAGAATACAAGAAGCATTTGTCAAACCTGGAGATTCCCCTAGAGGTTTGCACTGTAGATTCTTTGGCTGATCAAGTTGTGCTCATGGGATTGTACTGTTCCCTTGTCGTGCTTTTGACAGTGTGGTGTTTTCCAATACAAGCATTCCTGATTATGTTCTCGTGTTGTGTTGGTGTGACATGTGCTTGAGAATTGAAAGCTACAATTCTGAGGATGCCCTGTCAGTTTCCAAATAAAATAAATGTAGCTTAACTTCACAGAACAGATGGCCAGCTTCCTATTTCTGGTTAATACACTTGAAATAATAATCGCACCCAAAGTGAATCACTTGCTAAAGAGCACTGCGATTGAATTGATTGCAAAATCTGTTTCAGTTGTGACCTTTTGGAGAAGGGAACCTTCCTTCTCACTTATACAGGGGGTGCATAAGCACCGGATGTTCAGAAGCTAAAGGAGGCTCTAACTTCAGAGAAAAAATTTGGAAGGAATCTTGAGACTTGCAGAACTTAAACCATGATTGCTTTTCAGTTAAGTACAGAGATAATTATATGCCGATTCCCATTCATCACAGGATAAAGGTCCACCTAGATCTGTTTGGAATTTTGTGGGCATGTTTGCCTTCATAGAAATTCTTTAGGCTTTATGGGACTCTTTAGTTCGTGTGTGCAAAGCGTTGTTAACTCTTCCTATAGCTAGCGTACTGTTTTGTTTTCAATCAAAGTTTTCCCGACTGAGACTGATGATGATGATAATGATCTTGCATTTGATATAGCGCCTTACATTGTCACGCCGCTACATCAAGCGCAAGGATTATTATTACTATTCTCTGAGCAAATCTCATCTTTTGTTACTTCTCATCACGGAAGGAAAGACCTGTGTAACCTACTTATGCAGGTCGGATAGTAAGAAACCACACCAAGTTGATGATAGAATTTACAGAATTGGATGAGGGTATTCAGTCCAGGCAACCCTAGCATTAGCTCTTCCAATGGCATGAATGATCTAATCCCAATTCGTGCTCTTTCTTCATGAAACTTAATGTTTAACATAACGTGGAGGATAATGATCATTCTGTGAATATGAAAGAAGAATCAGTTTTTCCCGTTTCAACAGCCAAACCATCAGCTGCCAAAATTGTTCCCCGAAAAATCCCTTCTTACTCCATCGGGTGAAAGGTCGCACCTTGACATAAGGCAGGAGCTCAGAAAAGCAAAATGAAGCAGAGCCCACTTTGATGCCTCTCTGAATCAGAGGAAAGGAAAGAAAACTGTGCAGGTGTCTCCTTCTTCAAAGGATCGAGTGCCATCCAAGTCATGGATGTTAGCCCGCCTTGAAGAAGAGTTGCTGCACTGGAGAATCAGCCTAAGTTTTAGCATGGGATATAGGAACGTAGGAACAGGAGCCATTCAGCCTCTCGACCTTGTTCCACCATTCTATTAGATCATGGCTGATCTGTACCTCAACTGCAATTATCCGTCCTTGCCCCGTATCCTTTGATAGCCTTACCTATCAAAAATCTATCGACCGCAGTCTTAAAAATTTGAATGGCTCCAGCATCCACAGCCTTTTGGGGAAGTGACCCTTTGGGTGGAAAACTGTCTCCTGATTTCACTGCTAAATGGACTAGCTCTAATTTTAAGATTATGCCTCCTTGATCTGGATTCCCACACCGCTTAATATTAGATTGCCTGCATAACCGTGGTAAACGCACTCACCTCACAAGAGAGAGGAGCTGGGTTTGATTCCCGGGCAGAGTGAAGCCTTAGGCAAGTTTCCTCATTCCACGCCTGTGTTTACCGAGCAGTAAGTAGTAACCCGGTTAGTTAATTGGTGGAACGCTTATCAGGGGTAATAATCCCTCAAAAAAATAATACAAAAAAAAATTGGGCACTCAATCCATGACTGTTCGTGGGACACTGCTGTGTGCAATTGGCTGCCGGATTTCATCCACAAAATACACAATCAATCCATTTTACAATATATTCTGTGATATATATCTCAACATCGTGATAAGGCACTGTATCAAATGCAAGGATTATTATTCTTATAATATCCTAGATATGTCAATATATTTACCCAAATTGGGGTGTTCAACGAAAATATCAAGTATTTGTCATAATTTGTATAATATAATTTGTATAATATACTTATATAAATATAAGTATTTGTCCATGCTTGTAGAGACGCAAACAACCTGAGAAAAAGAGGATCATATCAGATGCTGGGAATGCTTTGCCTTTTAGACCGTGCAATGATTTTCCTGGACCTTTTAGATTCTATGTAAAATTGTAGCAAACCAATTGGAGGTAAACTTTGATATTACACGCATGACCTTTTCAGTGAAATGAACAAGGAATTGAAGTACGCAGTTGATATTTCATTCTTTTGTAATTAACATTTTCCATTTGGTAAAAAGATGTTGGAGAAAATGTATAGGAGAAAGAAAGTCACATGTTGATGCATTGTTGTGTCGAGGGACATGAGACAATATCACAAGGGAAAGGAAGCACACAGTAATGGCTCAGTCATAGCACAATTTCTTTTGAATAGTCAGACTTCAATTCACGGTTGAAATCGCTTTGATTTGCCTATCTGGAATAGAAATTGAAGGGGTGTTGTTATTTTCCAATTGAGATCATTTTCTGAACTTGAAGGAGGCTTCAACATTTCATCTTAGAAAGAGCCATTGTGCAATTTTATATTGCATTTTGTTGTTAAATTTCGCAATGTGTTTAAAAAGTAGTGCCTAGGTGCTGGGTGTTTTCCTATGTTCTTTTCAGTAAGTGTTTGAACCCTATCCCTTTAACACAGGTTGTTTCTCCCCTGAAAGGCATAGCAATAAATGAGCTGTGTATGGTTAACTGGTTGCACACTCACCTTTAGTTGGGTTTGTGTGAGCTGCTAACTCACAGGTTCAGCTGCACATAATAATGATAATCGTTGCATTTAATATAACGGCTTATCATGTAATTGAGACGCTCAAAGCGCTTCACAGACTATATTGTAATGTGGATTGACTGTATTTTGCAATACATTAAATAAATGCTTTGTCGCTTTCATTGTTCAGAGCAATGCATAGTGATCTGGATCAAAATTGGAACTGACATGAAGTCTCCGAACTATCTGTGTCTGTGTATGTGTGTGTGTCTGTGTGTATCCGTTTTGGGATGCAGTGGTGCAGATACCGGTAAGTGTGTGTATTCCTGGAAGTTAGCCAGCAAACATTATATTCTGCTAGACCTCTTCAGCAGGAGCACGTTGCTGTCTTGTGCTTCAGGCCATTTCCAATACCAGTGGCAGTATGTCATTGGTCACAAGAGGGCAGACGTAGATTGGCCTGCCTTCTGGTTTTCCTGCTCTATGTAGGTGGCCTCATCCAGATGGCCCAGGAACTCAGTCAATTAATCTTTACTAATTGTACTGATTTTGCTTTGGGGCTCTCTCAAATAATTGGGAACTTACATGCTCGGAGCAGGATGCAGTATCCCGGCTTCTCATTGGATGCAATGAGTTCATACGTCAGAAGCACTTCCTGGTCCTATGTTCAAATGTCTGTATAATGGGGAATTAACTCTTTATGAGAGGCAATCCGATTATTTTGTTTGATCAAATGGAAAGATTGGCCCAGTTTTTATCTCTTCAGCCTTGTGAATAAGTGACCGGCAAAGGGCAAGTTTCAGAAGCTTTATGTACAGTATTATTGAGTGTTTGGATCGCTCAGACTGGTGACACGATGGGTTGTGTTTTGCCGCTTTGGTACAAGTACTAATCATTAAAACCTGTCTTTCACGCAGGATAGAACATTGGATAGCGCTTAAAAAGGTTTACACGGTGAAGTCTAACTTCACTAACATAAATTATCTTCACTGATTGCTAAACACTGTTTGCGAGTCAATATTTGGTCCGAGATGACTCCTTTTGTTTTTTATCTTTCCTTCATCCAGAATCATGTGAATCCGGCGATGGATTTTACCGAGACTCCACCAGGAATGTTGGCTCTTGACAACATGCTGTACTTTGCCAAGCACCAACAGGATGCTTACATTCGGGTAAGGAGACATAATTTAATCTCAAGTGTTGTTCCTCCAAGTTCCAGAGACCTCTGTGGTCCAGATTGACATCATGTGCACACCATTGATGTCATGGGGAGAGGGGGATTAAGCACTGCTGTATGTGATTTAACTTTTGCTTTCAAATAATATTACATGTATTATTTATTTATGGATGTGCTCCTAATTTGCCCTTTGAAACCAGCATTTACCCTTCTCTTGATCTATTTCAGTCAGTGTTCTGAAAGCAGTTCTGGTTTATAATTTGTTTCAATGCTAGGTCAGTGTAGGATTTCTGCTTTTCTGGCATATGTGTATGCATATATATATATATATATATATATATACGTACATGTATATTTCAAATTAAAAGTGTTGCCAGGGATGAGTGCTCAGGTCACACACCAGGACTGCTAAAATCTACTATTGCTGTAATCTTGTTAACTTGATGGCTTTTGATCTATTGGTGCTTGAGGTGTCCGTCATTTTGAACTTCAACCATTGCAGACATTTTCAAAATCTATCAGGAGAGAGTAAAGGGTTACTTCATACATAAGACAGAGTTATTTAAAATGGCTTCTAAATTATTAATGTGAGAATAGTGCTGATTTTCACTAAAAAAAACACATTTGTGGATAGCAACAACGACATGTATTTATATAGCACTTTTCAGGCTGAATAGCACCTTGAAGCTCTGAAAGGTTTAGCAAATTGGAGTCTTATCTTCACTTATTGCTTATCAATATTCACTTATTCACTTATCAATCTTTTGAGTATCTTTCATGATCTCGCAGAAGGGGATCAAAGGTCTTAATGGCCACTTCCTATTCCTATGTTCAACTGACTATATGTCAGGGAAATCTCTTTATAATGAGAAATTCAATTATAACGTGTAGCAAAATAATTGATTCTAAGAAATCAGCATAAACTAGACCCTACAACAACAGTTTGCACTAATGCGAGTAGCTTTACAGAGCGCTTAACAACAGTGTGGTTTAACACCAAGCTGGAAACCGAGGGGAAGTGACTGAAGACATGTTCGAAGAGGAAAGTCTTCAGGTGTGATTTGAAGACAGGCAAAGAGGGGGAGAGGTGGAGGGATTTAGGCGAGGAGTTCCAGTGATTCGGGTCATAGTGGCTGAATGCACAACCGACGATAGTGGAGGGAACGAGGGATATGCAGAAAACCTGAGTCAGCTGAGCGAAGGCGGTTTGTGAAGGAGGGGTTGTGAGAGGATTGGAGGGGTTGGTGCCAGGGCCTGATGTGATTTGAAAGTGAAATTGATCCATTCTGCAGCTTGCATTTATATTGTGCCCTTCATGTGGAGTAGCTTCCCGGAATGCAACAAGGTGCTAGTGGAGCCTGGCATGAACTGGAGTGATGGGGTGCAGAGCCTGACATGGGTGAGGACCCGGATGGCAGTTTGGTATAATTTGGGCCTTGATAATGGAGCTGGGGAGATGGATGAGGAATGCATTGGAAAAGTTGAGGCAGGAGATGACGAAAGCATGAATGAGGGTTTCAGCAGTATTTGAAGTAAGATAGGAGGAAGGCGGCTGATGTGGCGGAGGTGGAGTAAGGCAGTTATAATAATAATAATAATCTTTGCATTTGATATAGCGCTTTTCACATCGGGAGGACGTCCCAAAGCGCTTCACAGAACACACTGTAAAGTGAATTGACTGTATAATTGTGGGCGAACGCGGCAGCCAATTGCGCACAGCAATGTCCCACTAACAGTCGTAGATTGAAAATGACCAATTTATTATTGTTTTGTTTTTTGAAGGGATTATTATTAGGCTCTGTGTGGAGTAAGGAAACTTGCCCAAGGTTTCGCCCTGTCTGGAATTGAACTCAGGTCTCTCGCTTGCAAAGCGAGTGCTCTAACCACTGAGCTACAGTTCTGATTAATGTGTGGGGTAGGAAGGATAACTGAGGATTGAACCTGATGCCGAGGTTTGGGTATAGGTTTGGTGAGTCAGAGGGATAAGGCAGTAAAGATTAAGGAGTTCAAAACCGCAGTTGAGAAGACATAGGTGGGAGCCGAGGAGAATGGCTTATTGCGAGTAAGATGAGATTTGGGCATGTGAACCAAAATAACAAGCAGTGTCATGAAGCTTTATTCAGGTTTGAAGCGTGCACATGGTTTCTGATCATTGTATAAAATTGGTCATTCACGACATAGCTGTTTGTGGGAGATTGCTGTGCGCAAATTGGCTGCCGTTTTCACCCGTAAAATACAAAGTCACTACACTTTTTATTATATCCTGTGAAATGCTCCGAGACCTCTTAACATGATAAAGCTCTATACCAAATGCAAGGATTATTATGACATCTTTGGGGGGGCATGCATTTTAATCATCCTCTCTGGATATGGGTTTATATTTGTTATGGGGATTTGCACTGTTGACTTGATAATTAAGTGGGTGCAAATCCATAAGTATCCAGATACAACCCTGCAGCAACTAACCAGATAGTGGCATAGTGAACCATTGAACACCAATTAGGTTTCAGCACAATTAGTTGGAAGCAGAAGCACGCAGGATCTAGTTTCTAATTTCAAATTGTTATTCTGTGAACCCTTCTATCTCTTCCTCCACCAGTGATGGTTTTGTCTTTTCAAACTGGATCACCTTTTGAATTTTCTCCCAAGACCCAATGATGCATACATTGAAGCTCAGAGCGTGAAATTCTTTTGCATTCATTATTGAAGCTCCAGAATTTCTTGCCTAGTGCCAAGCATTAAATCTTTGATTTCTTCTCACTCCCTTAATCTTCACAAGACAGCAAATCACTTATGAACTAAAGGTTTAAACTTCAAAATCTCACCCAATGGTCCCTCAAAAAAAGTAATTTAAAAGTAGCACTTTATAAAAACAGTTAAACCTATTATAAGTTTATGTTAGTATATGACATGGATGCTACCTGCGTGAAGGGTGCTTTATATAAATACAAATTGTTGTTGTTATAGCAAAGAATAACATGATAAATCATTGAAGGTGCATTTCTTTTCAACTCATGAAATGGACCAATCCTTATCACATCTATAGTGCTCCTTAGTTATTGCACCTCCCTTAATTGGAAATAAATTGCCAATATTTGATGACTTATTCTTTTTATTTAATACAAATTATCCTTGCATTTGATGGAGCACCTTATCATGTTTTCGAGATATCTCGACGAGCTTCACAGGTTGCACTGCAAAGTGCAATGACTGCGTATTTGTGGGCGAATGTGGCAGACAATTTTGCGCACAGCAATATACCGCAAACAGCCATGAAGTGAATGACCAATTTTATTTTGGGGATTGTTGGCCCGGACGGGAGAAACTCCCTTCTCTTTTCGAATGGTGCTGTGGGATCTTTAAGTCTATCTCAACAGGCCCTTACTTTAACTTGTCATCTGAAGGGTGGCACCTCCAATAATGCAGCACATCCTGAACATAGCATTGGAGTGTCAGCTTGGGCTAAATGTGTTCCAAGATCATTAACTGAAACCATTGGGTCATTTATTTTACATTTGTCTATTTTAGTGAGGGAGTGACATGAGGCGAGCCCTGCCTCCTGGCTCTGCCTGGCTTGGCAGCCTTTCTGCAAAACCTAGTGCTGCTACTGGGGGGGGAAGGGGAGGAGGATCTTTGCTCTCCTGAAGGTCATGTCACAGTGTATTGGCGTTTCCCACTTCATCAGAGGACAATATTGAACCATTTACACTTAGTTTGTAGTCGGATTGACATGAAGGTAGCCACAGAAGAGCTTTGCATATTTCCTTTCACATTTAGGAAAGGTGGGGAAGTAAAGAGGATCTGAAAATAGAAAGCAGTTGCCAGGAGCATGAGGAGATCTTTACAGTGATTATTCTGGATTAGCATACCATTCTTCCAGTTTTGTAAGCATTGGATGTCATTTTTAGCAAACGGAAACGGGCAGAATATTTGTTTGTTGCTCAGACAGATGTAAGTAATGCAGGGATCACAGAATGTCATTGCCTCTGGCCAGAACATGAAGTAAAAGGGAATGTTTTGATATAATTTTACACTGAAGTGTATGGGGATTTGAAGATCAGGATAGCGCTGTTAGTGAATTGGGTTGTAAACCCGCTGAGTAATGATCACCTTGAATCTTGTCTCTTTGCGCTTGCTTAAATCTGAGCAAAATGGTTATAGCAGATGCAGCAGCAACAAAAAAAACTTAAGAGGTTTGCACCACAGTAATTCTGACAAAAAAAACCCTAAAAATATAGAAGTAATTCATAATTGATGAAGCTCTTATAATGTTGAAACATCTTGAAGTGCTTCACAAGTCATTACTATCAAGTGTAGTGACGCTGTGTTTGCAGGCAAATACGGCAGCCATTTTTCCCAAGGCAAGTGTCCCACAAACAGCCATGGAGTAAGTTACCATCTTATCTGGAGGTCTTTTGGCCAGAGCACAGGGAGAAACTTGCTTCTCTGCTTGAAATATCAGGGGATTGTTAACTTCCACCTCAATAGGCAGATGTCATGTCGCAATGTATAAAGCATCACCCAGAATGTTTTCATGCCTTCAAGGTCCTGAGCTGTAATATTGGTGCAACGTTCGGTAGATATTACTCCTTTTGTAATGGAGTGATAGAAAACAAATAACTGTAGGTAGAGTATATGATTATAGAAATAAAAACAAGTCACTGGGAACACTCAGCAGGTCAGGCAGCGTCTATGGAGAGAGCAAAGTGAGTTAACGTTTCAGGTCGATGAGCTTTCCTCAGAACAGTTATTTATTGCATTGTTATTTCAGATTTCCAGCATCTGCAGTATTTTTGCCCATTGTATGATTATAGATTTGATTTTGGTGTACAGACAAACAATGTAAATAATAATTTAATAATGCTTGCTATTATTATTATAGCAAGGATTATTTACATTCTTACCATTATTTGTTTGTACATCGAAACACATCTCAAAACACTTCACTTGATTTGCTGTAAACTGCAGTGACTCTAATTGTAATAATTTGTAATA